CACGTGATCATCAGAGGCTTTTTTTTTTTTTTAATTTTAAAAGCATTTTTTTGGCCGAAGAGGTTGTAGAAAAAATGCTTTTAAAAGTAAAAAAAAAAGCCTCTGATGATCACGCGGCTCAGCTGGGCATGGGGGGAGGCAGGGATTTTTGCTACCGGTTCTCCGAACCACCTGCCGCCATCGCTACTGGGTCAGGTGATCCGGTCCAAACCGGGAGCATTTCACCCCTGGGTGGGGGCCAGTGGGTGGGTGGGCCTATATTTGGTGTATAAAACACACCTCAATTTTCTCCCCCTTTTGGGGGGAAAAAGGTGCGTCTTATACTCCGAAAACTACGGTAGATGAAGAAAATATTATCAGGCTATGTCATGTAAAAACAGTTACCAGGGCATGTTTGTGCCACTGTTAGAGGGACATGACAATATCCCTAATTGTCTCTCCAGCCCAATATTGTCAAACTGCTTTGGAGTAGCTCTTCAGTTTCACAAGCCAAGTACTTTATCATTCCTGGTAAAGGAATTTACCAGGAACGGTAAATGTCTTTACAAGGAGACCCTGGAAATTCCAGATGCAGAATTTTCAATGTTGTTATTCTAAATCCATTCAAGTGGTGGTTTCTAGCAGAGAGTGTTGATGTGGGAAGTCTCCTCAGAGACATAAAACTGATTAGTAATGACTAGCACTGTCTCCTTTCCTTGAGATCTCCATAAAGTTTCTGCTTTGGCTCCAATAAAATAATACACGCTATATAGCTGCAATATTTGATGGGTTGCAAAACTGGGCTTCAAACTAAACTCAGCAAAATCTATTGGAAATGTCCCATTGTTTGTGATTTCATAATTTTTTCTTCATGATAATCCCCTCCCCATGAAATAATTGTAAAATTACAGTGAACTATCCTTCAATCCTCAGAATGAATCTGAAACCATGGACAGTGAATCAAAACCAGCTGATGGCAGACAAGGAGCCTATGTTCCCTGCAATTGAACCACTAAAAACATCTGTTTCTCTGTGCTAGTAATTCCACCTTTTAAGAAGAGTTTTTAAAAGATGGGAACAATTTCTGCAAATATATATAAAAAAAAAGCACCTAACCGCTAGTTCATTCATTTGTAATTACCTGGTTTAGTCTGCACACTTCATCGGTATGAGTTTAGATAGAAATGCTGCATACATCTGAATTCAATCTATCAAGGAGAAAGAGAAAGGAAAGGAGGTATGAGTACCGGACACTTAACTATTTTTGCATCTGCCAAAACATTCCTGTGCCCAAAAAAGAGAGAGAGAGAGAGTATATCTTACACTAGAACTGTTTTCTAAAGAAGCCACTTGACTCTGATTAAATGTTTAATTTCCTTAAAACAGTATTTTGGACTTAGGCCTTTGTTCTTCCTGGTAATTGGGATTTCTGTTGTAGTTTAGGAATTTCACTTATCTGCTGGCTTTGCTCCAGTGATCCAGCTGGCATAGTAAAGCTGGAGGGAAAGGAGCAGCAGGCATCCTTTTGGTGGCTTTCTATTTGGCAGGGAGCAGAAATGTAAGATGCCATCAGCTGGCTATGTGCTTAACAAGGAATTCTTGTACTTTGGAATGAAACGTAAACAGGGACAGAATTTCAATAGCTTAAGCACCAACTTTTTGAATGGGAAAAAATGAGATTTCAGCAATATATCCTTGCCTGTTATCCCACAGTGAAAATCTATTGATGGTGCATCAATAACAGGAGGCCAGAAAAATCCATTAATACTAATATAATTTCTGAAATTTTGGAGTGGTTTTTTTCCCACTCAAGTTCAGAAAGGAGAACTGTACTTATATGTTTAAAATTGAAAATGTTATGTTTTAGAGTATCACAAGCTATCTTGTGAGTGTATCTTATGAGTATTATTTAAGTTATAATAGTCAGTTTATACAGAACCATCATAAAATAGAATTAGGAGAATTAAATTAATAATGAAAAGCAATAACATACATTCTAAATGTAGGACCATCTAGTTGGTCCAAGGAATATAAAAAGACTTAAGCCTGGTGCTCACCAAATTTGTTACCAAGTAAATATCCCTTTGATTTCTTCAAATGCCAATGTTGGATTTTCTTTCTTGCTTAAATGTCAGAGTTTGGACTATTTGAAGAATGGCCTTAAATGATAAAGTTAACATTTTAATGGGTGGAAGAGTGACAGAGTCCTAGTTTCTACTACTAGTTTCTACTACTTACCCAGACTTTCAGTGTCTAAATGTATGTAATATGAGGCCCAAAACCAAGAATGGCATTTGGAGATTCTTCCAAACTGATTTTTAAAAGAATTTTCACATCTACTGTATACTACAGTGTTTCCCTGAAAATAAGATCTATCTGGAAAATAAGCCCTAATGCATCTTTTGGAGCAAAAACTAATATAAGACACGGTCTTATTTTCTTGTCAGACTGACCACTGTATTATAGAGTCTAAGACAACTCACTGCCATCGACTTGATGCAACCTCCTCAGTCCAGTTGTCATGCCCCAGCCGATTTATCATGGGGCAACTCGCCATGGGACAATTCCTTTTATTAGTTACATCAGTCTAATGTAATGTAATGGGAGAATGCCAGCGATAAGAGAAACCTCCCGCTCCTCTTCTGTAGCTCAGACTATGGAAAAAAATCAGGACAAAATGGGAAGTGGAAGAGTGAGTTCCTCCCACCACCACCAGAAAAAAGATCACTTGGGAGAGAGTCACACAAAGTTCAAGGGATATTGGTGGGGAGAGAGGGTAAGCCGGATCAAGGACGGAGAGAGTGGAGGAGAGGCTGGTTCCCCTCCTTCAAGCCTTCTCCAGTGGTGAATTGTGCTGTGGTGAATTGCCTGCGGTGACCCAGCAGTGACAACCCAGATGTGGCGAGTTGTCCCATTCTGTCTATTGTATGCATCTGCAATATACTCTGTGAAATCTTAGGAAGAGTTTGTCTTCACACTGTTTCATATATAACATCCAGACTAGGCGTGGGCTCTACCTGCCTTTACAATCGGTTCGCAATGAGGCCACGCACGCTTGCTTCGCTCGCGTACGCACTCTTCTGTGCATGCACAGAAGCGTTCTGATGACGTCGAAGTTGGTGGGCAGAGCCTCCCGCCGGTTTTACTACCAGTTCTATAGAACCGGTCCAAACCGGGGGCAATCTACCACGGATCCAGACTGAACGCCTCTTACTCCTCTGGCATGCGCCTCCTTACTACATGCCATCATAGCTAGACTGCATACAAAGTGCTTTTCTCTTTCCACAGTGTTTCTCAACCTTGGCAACTTTGAAGGCTTGGGGATTTCAAATCCCAGAATTCCTCAGCTATCCAGATGAGATCCATAGGTCTTAAAGTTGTCAAGGTTGAGAAACACTGGATTAGAATAAGCAATTAGGTCACTGTGACTAAATTCTGCTATCAATCATCATCAGCCAGCAGCGTCCAATCTTCTTTAATATCTCTCCTTTGAGTTAAACAGTGTGCTGGTGCTTTTAAACCGCAAAAAAATTGTTTTTTTAAAAAAAAATCCAATTGTCATGAGCACTACACTATGTTGTCTGAATTTTGGTGAACTAGATGAAGGAAAAATTAATTTGATAGTGAAGAAGCCTTTCCCTCCCCCATGCACACACCTTCAGCAATGAGAAGTTTTGGCTTTCTTTTGCTCAGTTGACTTATGTAAAGTTTATGTCTATTGTAAAAATCTACTTCTGCTGTTAGAGTCATGAAAACCATGATTTCTGTGCTAATCTGTAGCAAATACATTTCCCCTTCCTTTTCTGCAGCAGACAGTTAATCGTGAAGTTTAATTTAGACCAAGGACATTACAGGAAGTCCTTGATTTATGACCAGTTGCTTACTGACCTTTCGAAGTTATGCCGACCTCCCTGGGCTACTTAAGCCCAAATTTGAAGTAACAGCAACCGCTCTGCCTTCCACGATCAAGGGATAGCATTTTGGACACCCAGCATCCAGCAAACATTTAGGGCTATTTGAAGCATTCCCACAGTTACGTGACCACAACTTACAATGTTTTTTGCCAGAAACAGACATTTAATTCTGGTTTCCAGAAGAAGAAAAAAAACCCACCCATTGCAGATAATGGATTCGCTTAACAACTTTCACCAAAAAAGGTCATAAAATTAGACATGGTCACATGACCGTGCAGCACACCTTAGGACCATAATTCTGGGCTCAGTTACAGTTGTAAGTCAAGGACTACAGTATCTATAGTGTACACCCTGTTGAGACAACTTCTGCAATCGTTTTTCCAAGAAGAAATTATTTGATGCATCTCTTTCTTAAGTGCGCTGTCTCCTGGCTTTTGCAGGAAGAAATAATATAATGAAACTGGTAGTGGATTAATTGTATTCCAGAATGTCCATTGAATGAGGGAAATTTGGTCCAATGCATGCAAAATCTACTACATCGAGGTCTGGTACATGGGGTTTTTTATAGAGGTATAAAATTGTGATGCAATTGTGAAATATTTCCCGTGACAAGTTATTTTCTAATGCTGAGGATTGCTGCAATCAAACTGAATCTTGATATCTTCGTTATGTTGCATAAATACAATAAGGTCTTTACAAAACTCCAGAAAACTTAGTTATTATGTGATCATGGTCGTAGCAGGTAGGAGCAGTTAACTGACTTTTTCTGATCTCAGAAGGTTATGCAGACTAACCACTATTACTATTTTTTAATTGGATCAGTTGTAGTGGAATTGATTTATAAGTCATAAAAATACACCAGAGCAGGTTACCAAATCTTATGTGCTATTATGGCAAATGTTCTAAAGGAGATCCTAGCTTTGGCCTGTCAAATGGTTGAGATTTGGATATTTTGGATATTCCTCTGTGTAGTAAAAGCTGGTTTGAAGGTTTCTCCTTCCCTCACACAGTTTCTCAAAATTGATAGCTTCATACTCATTCTACCCATAGAATTTCTCACCAATTTTTTTATATCCTTTATTCTTTTCACCCTATCTCTCTATGCAGAGTTGCTGGAACTGTGGCCGTAAAGCCAGCGAAACTTGCAGTGGTTGCAACACTGCCCGTTACTGTGGCTCATTTTGCCAACATAAAGACTGGGAGAAACATCACCACCTCTGTGGACAGACTCTACAGGCCCAGCCACAAGGGGAGACACCAGCAGTCAGCTCCTCCGCAACACCGAATAGTGGAGCCGGGAGCCCCATCGACACCCCACCAGCAGCTACTCCTAGGTCAAACACCCCTGGAACTCCAAGCACCATAGAGTCAACTCCTCGCTAAGACTGAACTTTAAAATACTTAAAGACAAATACAAAACAAAACAAAATCCTCATCCTCAGATACTCAAAGGTTTCTACTGAACTTTCACATTTCAATATTATAAAAGAAATTATACTGTATCTTGAGGTAGAAGCAAAACCCAGAAGGCCAGTAACGGGTCATAATGACTTATTCTGGATAACAAAGATATCTTTTCTTTAGGAAACAGAGAAGATTGAACATACACACAATGATAGATTTGACCTCCTCCCTGTTATTTTCCAGTAGCTGGGATTTTAAACTAGGTGACCTCATTAACACAATGCTTTACCAAACAGCAAACCAAGAGATTGCTAATTGCTGTTGAAAGCAAAAATGCTAATAATATAAAGTCACAATGTTCTTTGTAACAAAAAATGGATTTTTTTTAATTGCGAGAAAGAGAGAGAGAATGAGAGAGAGAGAGAGAGAAAGTAAGTAAGAAAGAAAACAAACCCCCTCATGGGCTTAAGCATTGGATAAAGCAGCAGACATTTTAATAAGAAGATGAATAGCGTCCATGGGTTACTGACTTGAACTCTGAAGACCCGTATCAAAAACACGCAGATGTGCAGCAGATTGGAAGGAGACACAGATGTTCATTTTTTTTTCTTGTTTCTGAATGAAATAATAATATCCAGGTCAACAGAATGAAAAATGGAAGATGATTGCAGTGGGATGAAGGACTTAAAAGAGCAGCAAAGGGGAAAAAAATACCGTCACACAAAGATCTCCTCTTCTTTTCTGTCCTTTGTTTCGTTTTTTTTTTTTGGTGGGGATTATTTTTCTGTTTTGTTTTGGTTTTGTATTTTTTTTTTTAGAACAGAAATAAGAACACAGCCTGCAGTTAATTAGCATTTTGGCAGCTATAATATCAACCAGCTGCCTCTATCCTTCCCCTTCTCAAAAAAGGAAAAAAAAACAAGCTTCAAAATTTCCTTCACTTTTTTTACAAGCTTCCACAGAGGAAGGCCATCCGGTCTGTTTCGCCTCGTCCGTTTTTGTATCAGCGATGGTGACAATGCAGTGACTCCAGCTCCAGATCTCATCCAAATTCTTTCCATCTTATCCTGTCTGGGTTATTAATTTTTTTTAAAAAAATTAAAAATAAGGAAAAATATAGTAGTTCTCTTGGTGTAAAAGCACTTCTGTCCTGTGAGGTTTCCCAATTGTGTTTTTTTTTTTCCTTGTAAATGTGTTGGGGCAAATGTGAAAATGCATTGTAGTTAACTATGCTCACATTTAAGTCTTCTTTATTACTAGTAGGTGAGAAACTTTCTATGCTGCTTTTATATCTGTCTGTAGTAGTAATATTTCTCTAGAAGGTCAAAAGAAAAGAAAAAAAAAAGAAACCCCCCTCCTTTTTTCATTTCTCCTGAAGAAAAGAAAAGGAAAAAAGCTATCTTTCGGAGCTGCTATTTCACTCTCTTATAGGGGGAAAAACATTCTGAAATCTAGCATGCTTCCTGGAATGCTAAAATATTGGTGTTTTTCTAAGAGGGATGTACATAAATGTATTTTGCACTGTCATAATGACTCCTAGGCATGCTTTTTTGGGGCAAACTCTTTTTAAAGATGCTAGAGCCATTTCACCGAATTTATCTGTAGGTTAGAATAGTGGTGGGTTATTTTTTTAATTTTTCTCTTCCCTCCTTTTTTGTTTTGTTTTGTGTTGTTTTGTTTTTCTTTTTTCTTTTGCAAAATTCATTAATATGTATTTTATAAAAAAAAAATAAAAATAAAACAGGCTATCATACTTTTTTAATAAAAAGCAGTGCATGCATTATCACTGTAAGGTTGTACGGTATTTCTGATTTTACAAAATAGAAATTATGATGATTAGAGCTCCAAATGCTGAGATGTAGATTGACAGCTTTAACACTGCTGAATGCCAGGTTTATATTACAGTATTATTACAAAAAAAAAACAAAAAAAAAGGGAAGTCAGCCAAAGACTGATTTGATGGACCAAAATCTGAGTTCTGAAAGCATTGTTTCTATTTTCCAAATTATCAGCAGGTTAAACATGTTCAGCAAAGGCATAATGCACATTCATTTAACCCTTCATTGTCCATTGTCTAGGCCAGAAATATTTGTAAATGTAAACAACCCATAAGATGGTTATGTGCTTTTCTACCAAGTAAGCCATGAAATAAATTGGGTTTAATATCTTTATTGAATGCCACTGTAGAAGGCATTCCTAAATATTTTTATTTGAAGCTTCTTCCAAGAAAAACAAAACAAAACAATTCTGTGCCATACAGTTAAAGTGGATTGGATAGGCCTGGATACAAAGAACTCCCTCAGTTACAGAGCTGCTCAGTGGTTACAGACAGTTTGTTTAAATATCTCTATTACAGATAGTCCTAATTTAACCAACTACTTGCTCCGTGACCGTTCAGTGATGGCACTGAATAATGAAACATGCATCTGGTCCTTGAATTTGTGGCCACTGCAGTGTCCCTGCAGTCATGGGAGCATGATTCGCTTGGCAACCAGTGCACAATGATCTCAGCATCCCACAGTCACACAATCACCATTTTCAACTTTTTCAGCTAGCTGCTGAAAAGCAAAGTCATTGGGGAAGCCAGCAGGAATTCACAAGTTGCAGTTACATTATGTACTTAATAACTATAGAGCTGTGGTGGCACAATGGTTAGAATGCAGCATTAAATGCTAATTCTGCCAACTGCCAGCAGTTTGTTTCTCACCAGCTCAAGGTTGACTCAGCCTTCCATCTTTCCAAGGTCGGTAAAATGAGGACCCAGATTGTTGGGGGCAACATGCTGACTCTGTAAACTGCTTAGAGAGGGCTGTAAAGCACTGTGAAGTGGTAAATATGTCTAAGTGCTATTGCTATTGCTATTCACTTAATGACTACAGCCAGAAGTGATGAACTATCATAAGTCTCTTGCGAACATGTGATTTTCCACTTTATGACCACATTGCTGAGCAATGGAATGGCCAGTCCCAGTTGCAGTTGGTAGATAAGGACTACTAGTATTAAAATCTCATTTTGAGTTTTCTGGATAAGATGAACTGTTCCTACTACTATTATTCAACAGATAAGAAAGGTTTAGTAATCTGTGTGAGACAATGTCTGTATAAGCTGAGGTGGAGTTTTCTGTTTTCCCATTTTACTTTTGTCCAGGACAAGAAAGGCAACCTTTACCAAATGTCCAATTTTCTGCTGAGGAACAATGCTGGAAACTGGAGAAGCTGCAAATACAAAGCATCCGTACAGACAACATATGACTTGTAGGGGTTTGCGGAACTAGGTTGCCTCATTGTTGAGAAACCTGGCTCTTATATAGCAGAAGTATGGATGCTTGCCAACTGCCTTGCCTTACGTGGAAATCAAAAGCACATAACAGGCTCCCTTTGATCACGGTGCTCCCAAATTCATTCCGATCTCTTTTGGTTCTTATTCTGCTTGTGACACTGGAGTCCATTCCTCTAGAGCTCTAGGCAATGAAGGGTTTAATAATCCAAAACATATATGTATGTGTATGTATGAAGGTGCATATATAGATACATGCACGCACACATACACACATAAATATATGGTGTTATCTCATATTTCTATGTCTCTAGAAGCTATGATGTATGTGAAACAACACTGTTGCTCTTGAACATAAGTGTGTGAAAGAGGGTTTAGTACAGTATGTCTCATTACTTTATAATTCAGGGCACCCGGAGTGAAAAAAAAAATACAAATACAAAAAAAAAAGAGAGAGATTACCCCCTAACTCTGAGCTCTGTCTCCTCCTCTTCCTCCTCTCCTCCTGTTTTGCTACAGTCTCCTCAGTGGCAAAAAGTTTCACTCTACCTCTGACAGCATGTATATTGCACCAGTAGCTAACAAAAAAAAACTGGTCTAGTCTAGTCAAACCAAATGGGCACCGAAGAACCAGGATACCAAAAGTTAAGCTCATACAGCTGCAAACCATATCACTTCTTGGTAACAATGCAGACCTCATAAACCTAAAGAAGAGAAAGAAAGAAAAAAAAAACTTTTGTTACTTTCCTTTTTTGCTTGTCACTTATTATACAGGCTATGCGAGAGTATAATTTGTAGGAATAAACACATTTTAAAAAATAAATAAAAAAAGCTAACTTCATTGGGTTAGATCTGAATCGTGGTCGCTAATAGAACTTAGGGCGTCCTCTGATCTGTCTCTTCCTCTCCTCTTCCTCTTTTTCTCGGTCATGAAACTGTGTGTTGAGTGTGCGTGTGGCAGGGGCTACCAGTCTCTTCTTTAAAGAAAAAAAAACCCTTCTGTTATCCTTACTTTTTAAAAGAAAACTGTGTGCGGGGTGGGGGGGGTGCGTATGCCTGTTGGTGCGTGTGCGTGCGTGCGTGTGTGTGTCGGTGCATGTCTTGGGGATTTGAAATGTACAAGGCTGGATTATATGCAAAGCATGCCAACGTCTGGAAAACATTTAGGGGGGAAAACGTTGACTCCATGTTGTCTGAACTGCTCAAGGGACAGGACAAAATAAATAAATTGGAGACTGTTGAAATGCAGTTTTTTTTTTAATTTTTTGTTTGTTTTCAAGTACTTTGGTTTTCTTTTTGTTTTATGTTTATTTTGGGTTTTTGTTTTGGGTTTTGCGACATTATTGTGAAAAAAGAAAAAGAAAAAAAGTTGTTGTGCAATACTTAATTCAGACATGTACCACAAGTTAATGGTAGACTAACACTGGGGTGGGGGGGGCGGTGGGGGAGATACTAGGCATCATGCTTTTGTCAACATACTCTTGAGCTTTTAAGTCTACTATGTCTGAACTGTGGTTTCCTGTTAATCCTTTTTTATTTCCTTTAGTTGGACTGTAATGTATGGTCTGTCAACCTGTGAATCTTTAAAGTATGATTCAGGTATTGTTGTATTCTTTACTGTGTAATAAAAAATGTTAAAAATCCATACTTTTCCTTTCTTTCTATGTTGTGTTTTGTGTCTGTGTGTGTCTCTATGTGTGTGTCCTTTGAAAGAGCAACGCTTCTGTGCATGTGCAAAAGTGTCCAGGTGGGTGGGCGGAGCCTCCCACCGCTGCCGCTACTGGTTCGCCCGACCCGGGACGAACCGGTAGCAACCCACCACTGAGTACGTTGTATTAATACAAGCATTGAAAACTAACCCTGAACTACAGCTTAGTGTAATATAAGACCACAGTCGATTGTGGCTTTAAGAAACCATGGTTTCTTAAGTAAACACCCATCCCCACAAACACAGGCTGGTTGCACCCTTTGAAGAACTTGTATTATTCTCAGATAAATATGCAGCCATCCCAGGTAGCCATCACAACATTCAAAGTTACGACGGCGTTGAAAAAGTAATTTTACAACCTGTCCACGCACTTGGAATGGTCACAGCATCTCCATGGTCATGAGCTTGACATTCAGGCAAGGCATTTATGACAGTCACAGATTCCTCGGCTCACATGACTGTCTTTTGCGTTCTTGACATCCTGCTTCCATCAAACAGTCAATAGAGACGCCTGCAGTAAAATTGCAAGTTGTGGTCATCTGATGTCTCATATACTGATGCAGTTGCCAGTTCCAATTTTGGATGTTGAGCAAGGACTATCTGTATTTTTCTGACCATTCTAACTATGAGAACAATCTTAAATATGGGATAGTTTCCAGTTAAATACTGTACCCATATATTCTCAAGGACAATACAGCCACGTCACATATAGAACAGACTGTTAGTCTCTGGCTTGCACCCTAAACCAGGTTCAGATTGCAGAGGGGACTCTCTATTATCCATCTGCCTTTTCTTCGGCAGAAAGGCTGTTTTGGATTAACCAGAATGCAGAAAGAAGCTTGATGAGAAAGGCAGTTAACAGAGATCATACATACATGCGTTTGTTTTTTGTAATTAGACACAGTGTTAGTAGAAACATCTACTTTAAGCAATAGTTGCTTATTTGCACAAACAGAAGGACCATATGTTCCTGTGGGTGTGGAAGGATGTTGATAACAAAACTAGAAACTTCATAGATTTCATTGCATGAAATGTTGCACGGTTTCTTCCATGAGATGTTGACATCTGAGTCATAGTCCTCAATTCCCATCTTAAACCTTTTTCCTCAGGAAAAAAAAATGTGCTAAATTGAATAAAAATAGATAAGCAAGTACACACAAAACAGATGCCTGGGAAATATTCAAACTTGATTGTTTGAAATCAGAAAATTAAAACTGTATCTGTGCAAATGAATGAATATTCGGATGTTGTCACAGAGTAAGTTAAGAGACTGTATTTGTTTGTTTCCTTTAAAATAATCCACCAACAAGCTAAGTCTTCATTGGACTCTAAAAGGATGATAGCTCAGGCCACTGGCCCTATGACTGCAAAGGAGAAATTTGACAAAAGCTTTTGAACATTGAAGCACACTGCTGAATTATTTCTATCCAGATGTTTGTTGACATTCTTAAACAAGTTCGAAGGTTTATGGGATTCTCATTTGCACTGATTGTTCTTCAACAAGGCTTGATCTTCAACAGGCCTTTTAGAAGCAATTCAAGTATTTAAGTTTTTTAAATATCGGGAAGGACATTATTGGGAATTGTCAGTTTATTGATTTTTAACTTGTTGATACAGGTATAGTCAGAACCTCATCATTTACACTTCTATTCTCTTAGAGCCTCTTCCTCGTATATCAGTTCAAGCTTAGACATCATTTTTATGCTGCTCTTTCATCAATCCTCAGGAAAGTTAAGACGACTTCATAGGTTCATCAGGGAGGCCGCACTTAATGACTCCCCTGGTGTAAAGGGTTTAGGAATTGAAACATTAACATTTCAACTGCTCTCTGCCTATTCACCTAATGAGCCTATCCAGATTAGGTGAGAATGATACCTCCCTGGTAGACATATATGGGGTTCCCCTGATTAACTTGCCCAGACCTAAGAAGCTACATAACTAAGCAGAGAAATGTTTCAAACCAACAAAAGAAGTCCAGTTGCCATGACTCAACTTCCAGACAACTCTACCTGGATGACTGAGAATCTTCACTGACAGTTAGACATCAACATTTTCTATGGTAAAGTCACAAAAATGCAAATTATTCATTCAACCCTTCTGCCCACCTTTAGTAGTAGTTTTGTGTTTCGGATGGAAGACTATCAATTCAGCACCAATCAAATCCCTAAGACACAGCATCATAACCACCCAAGATGACGACAAGTTCTTGCAAGATGTCTTAAAATCCGAAATCTATTACCAAAGCCCACCAGATCAGAAGAGGTCATTCTTTTTCATTTTTAACACTACTTTTCTGTTTGAATTTCTTTGCCAAAGGTTTAATTCCTTTTTTTTTTGAATATTTTAATAATTAATACTTTAATCTTTTATAAAAATTCTCTTCTATGATATTTGTTCCTTTTAATTACACTTCCTTGTAATTCTTACAGAATGTATACTTGAAGGTAAGCATAACTTGCCAGTTATCTTAAATTAACCAGGGTTTTTTTTATGCAATAAATATTTCCAAACTCTTCAACTCTCCTAGCTTGGTCTGGTAGCTACTAGCCTTAGATAGAAGTACATCAATTTGCAGTTCTCCCTCCAAATAGCTCCAGCTTTTGCAGTTTTGTACATTGGCCTTTGGCCTTACAATGATTATCAGATATCATCATATAAATATTGCCTAGTTTACCCTGTCAGCGGCTTGATAATTAAAATTAATTAATCTTCATTTTGTAGGAATAATTGATCTCAGACTGAATATACAGATTCTATACACTTTCACTTAGGAATCTCTTGATATTTAATTTATTAAATAAATTTATACAGCTGTCCACATCACACAGGTGACCCCCGGAGGCTTACAACATTAAAAAAATTCCCAACATAAAAAGTCATATTCTTCCCTCATGGCAGCAGCACACAATCAAATCAACCATTTGATTGACTCCATCTCCATTCATGGTCTACAGGCCCACTGACAAGACCATGTCTTCAGAGTTTTTGGAAAATCAACATGGTGGGGAGGGGATGTTACTCCAGGGGAATGATGTTTTTACAAAGAAAGGGCCACCACCAAGAAGGCCCTTTTTTGGTGGACCCACCAAATGTGCATCCCTAATAGATAGGACCTGTAGCATACTCTACCTTCCCAACCTGGTGAATCAAGTGGATGTAATGAGGGAGAGGCAGTCCTTCAAATAACCCGGGCCCAAGCCAGGTAGGACTAGGCCCCGGCAGCCTGATTCCATACCAGTTCAAATGGACTTCATGTTGGTCTCAGATTTAACTTCCTACCTTGAAATCTTCCTTTTTCCCCCAAAACTTCTGGTCTATATTTCCACACCCCATTGGCATAACCCACAATTGATTCTTCCTTATGCTTGTCTCACAGTGTCTCTCTCACTCTCTTTCCCTCCCCTCTTTCCCCTCTCCCTTCCTCACTTTACACTGACCCTCCTGCACCTTGTTTATCTTTTCATTGCAAGTTTCACACCTTCACAAATTCAGCATAAAGAAATGATACACAGATCTTCTTGGCCTTGTTTATCTTTCATTTCCAAACTGTAACATCACATAAAGAAGAACTCTCAGATAATCAAAATCTATTCAATGGGAGTTACTTCTCTGCAAAAAAAAAAAAAAAAAAAAAGATATTTATCTGATTAATTTCATCTTTCTTCCCCAAAACATCAAGGCAAATAACTAAAGTATTTTTAGTAAAGGCCTCTTTCCTACTTTTGTTTTGCAAATCCATTCCAGCAGTTTTCCAACCAACTTGGCTTTTTGTTGCTGTAGTATTAATGGTCTTGACCATTATTCTCAGAAATTGCCCTGAAGATTAAAGGAACCCTAAAACTCTCAGAATGATAGATTTACTTTCTAGGAGAGTGGGAAACCACATTAAACTCTGTTCTGAAGCACAGAGATTTTTAATAATTTACCTTTTTTGTGTGCTAACCATTTTATTTGACCAAAAGAGATGCTATCTCAAGACAACAGATGTGAAGTGCTAACAAATGGAGCCAGTCTCAGAAATCTTCTAATCTAAATGTTTTAATGTATAAATGCCATATGTTGAATGGATTTCTTGTCCTTTGCAAACAAGAAATAGACTTTTTTAAACTCTATTCTTTCATGAAACTCCCTAGTAAGGGACAGTAAAATAGGTGAATATGTCATTACTGACCATGTTGCTTTAAGGCTTATTGCTCTCATCAAATTTTAAAGTCAACTGAAAGGACAAGAGAAGAAGAAATACAAATGATGAGACACAAAGGGAAAACCTTTTTCCACACGAACTTGAGGTACCAGCCAATACACATATGGAAATGGTTATTTTACATATACTTTCAAATTCTAATTCTCATCCTCATTCTCTCTCTCCCTCTCCCTCTCCCTCTCCCTCTCCCTCTCTCCCTCTCTCCTCTCCCCTCCCTCTCCCTCTCTCTCTCTCCTCCTCTCAGTAAAATGCATGAGAAGTAATTCTGTATTATTTTTCATAATAGGTATACTGCCTTGAAATTTTTAAATTTTTTCCACAACAGTAGTGCAAAGATATATTGATAGGCAAATGGGAACATTGATTAAAAATTAGATAATTAGTAAAGTCAAAGCATCAAAATGATTTCTTTTTTAAATGCTTCTCTGTAATAAAAAAATATTCGAAGAACTTTACATATATCAAATAAAAAGAAATGCAAGTAGAGAAAGAAAAATAAAATAAAATTGAGGTAACAGCTCTCAAAATAAACAAAAAAGTAGCAATTGACTAATGCATAAAACTATTCATACAGCATTTTATGCACTAGTTATAGGAGTTTTTTTTTAAAAAAGTTTTTATTAATGTTTTACAAAACACAAAAAACTTAGCACAAACTAAGAAAGAGCAGAAGCAAGCCAGAAAGAAAAAAAGAAAAAGTACAGAAAGAACTTAAAAAATAGAAAGAAGTT